TTCTCTGAATATCTTGTTGTTTAAATACTTCTATCTGGAGAGATGAGGTAGATCCTGGCGTCTAGTAATTAGCAATTGGCTTTATCACCAGTCTCATCCTCCTTACCCTTACATCAACAAACCACAAACTGTGAGGATGAAACATAGCAACAGGTGCAGGAAAATTGAATCCAGTTTATTTCGGTGCTATCTTGTCGACTGGTTGCTCAACCTAGAATGTCAAAATATATACAGCCCTACTGAAATTTCAACAGACTTTAATTCATTGAATAAAACAGAATACCTGTCAGTGGTAAAAACGGACGGAAATAGTCATTCATAACAGGGAATTCAAGGAAGGTTAATACATAGTAAGAAATTGTTTCTCAGTCCAGTTGACAGAGCATCAGGTCAAAAACCCAGCGGGCGGTGGTTCGAATCCTGCGGCGACTGAAATCCTCCTTTCGCCTTCAATCATCACCCGGTACCAATATAAGTGTATGCATAATCCAATAATAGTTTCCCGAATGAACGTAACGACAGGAGTAGCATTCGAAATAATGAGGGACTTAACATATGTTAACATGTTAACACCGTTATAAATTGAGACTATAGAATGAGGTATTCAAAGCTGAATTCACAGTATCGACTGCAGTTGTAAAATAGATGACTTGATTGATCTTCTTTTGTCCTTTACTAAACCATACTGCGAAGTGTTCTTGAATGTGGATAAGGATAGGCATAAACGAACGAACTACCTACCTAGCTCCATAGGAACAGATGAATTGATAAATGCACAGTGAGCTGGTCAGTCTTGCCAAATTATCCTTCACATTGGAACATATCAAAGCCACGACTACAATATGTCATTCTCCAAAGGTTTACTGCATGAAACGTCTTACGAGCCGATCCTTTTAGAAGGATTTAGGAACAATATCTTCTTCGAAACAGTGTTGGTGATTAAGGCAATTTGTTTGGTTGTGGCTAGCAGAAGAATCCAGGACTCGCGTTTCGTCCTACTTGGGACTCGTCAGCTGGATGTACCTGCACTCCAGCGAGTGATGTTGTTCCCACTGAGACTCTAACCTCTTACGCGTCGCCTCAAACATCAAGGCGTTATCCACTATGCCACAGAGGAACAATATCCACTTTCTGTACAACAAGTAGTAGTTATTACTATTTATTGACACACTGGTAATTCTGCGTTGTTTTTATTCCACCGAATTGTTCGACGTCACTCACTGAGGTGCAGGTACATCTAGCTGACGAGTCCCAAATAGGACGAGGATGAATAGGCTAAACTGCAACATATTATTGGCCTTATTAGCGGCAGGTCATGCGCTGCTTAGGTTAACTAATAACAGCGAGATTGAACTATAACTATAAATAATAGTGACCCTCCATCTCACTTCCTTTAATTTTACCACTTTGTATGTACAATGTCAGATGTAGCGAAATGAACACTTATTCAGTATTGTTCATCCCTTTGTTTTTGGTATTGATTGACTGACTGACTGTAATGTGGTAATGTTGCTTAATTGGTTCCATCGAAAGTTTATTCCTACAAAGTTTCTCTCTTAATGAGCCTGTGGGTTCAAATGCTGCCTTAATCTCAGGAATGATAAAAATTTCTACACAGAAGCCCATTGTTCTTTTTCATGTGGTTACACCTTTGGGGTTTTGTACTCTTTCTCAATTTTGTTTCAATTTCTCTGAGGACTAGGTAAAAACTTTGTAGGTTAACTCTTCTATATATGCTATAATCAAAACATTTCAACAGGCTTGCTTGAACACATAATTAGTGAGACAATGTAAACTAGTCTTGAATCAATTTATAAATATGTAAACGAAGTTGGGATTTTATGGTTTAAAATATCACCTAGTAAGACATTGTATTGTTTTACATTCATAGAGAAATAAAAACACCGAAATAATAATGAGTATCGTTAAGCGAATGTCCGGGTTTTTACAAAACCTCAATTGATCTTCTTCTTCTGCTCGGTTCAACTGAATTTACAGAGTCATTTTCATCAATTGCTAATGCGACAACATTGTAGTCATATACTCAGATGAGAAGAGTATATTTAAATATGATCTCAGAGTTATGTAGTAATGATGGATAATGGTTAGAAGTGGAATGCATGACGCGCGTTTTGTCTTATTCGGGACTCGTCAGCTGGATATGCCTGTCTCCCAGTCAGAGATGATGTTCTCACTAGGACTCGGACTCACGACCGATCGCTTCAAATGACAGAGCGTTATCCACTAGGCTACGAAGTCACAATAGCCACTTCTTATGAGATGGGTATAGTTTTAATCTGAGAGTGTTTAGGATTTTGGGATTATACTGAAATGTACCCTGATAATGATTAAATCAGACACGGTGTTCGACTTCTTCGAGGACAATCTTTACAACTGAGGTCTGAATGTTTATTTCTTCATATATTTAGACACGTAAATTGTTGAGATTTTTCTGCAATGAATTTTCAGCAAAATAGGATTAAAATTATGTGAAATATATCGAAACAAATTGGAATACATAGGAGGTATCGAGGATACCATGGTTATTCGTTAATCTAAAGGAAGTTATCATTTGACTATCTGAGATAGTAGTCGTTTGACAAACTGTTATTTATACTAGGTGATAACTGAAGGTGAAATGAAAAGAGAAAGACAGCATAACAATGATATCTACTTTGCCTTCATTACTAGCCGACTTGTTTATGGCCAGCATCGGGAATGGTACATCTCGAGTAAATGATCAACCAACTGATTTCATATATAAGAGATGCATTGATGACACCATCATAATTGCTAAACAAAACCTTCCTAAACGCTTTAATCACCATCATCTGTCACTGTGGTTTACAAAAGAAAGAGAAACATATTCTAAAATTGTATTCGTAAATGTTCTATTGACGAGAAGAGGAGATGATACACTGAAGAGGTTCATACACAGAAAACCAACACTGAGTAGACAGTTGATGAACTTCCATAGCTCGATTCCATTGACCAGAAAACCTCATCATATTCCCTCTCCGTTTTCATGACATCATAAAATTTCTTCTGTAGACTGTATAGAAGAGGAAACAAATTTATTCAAATATAACTTTTTGATAAATGGATATCCATTACATTTCATTGTGAAAAACTGAAACACAAAAGCACTTCAGCAATCACCAACACTATTTATTGATATACTTGTAATTCTCGCTAGTTCTATTGGATCGAGTTGTTCGACCTCTATTAGCATATGTACTCCTATGCGGATGCCTCGATATTGCCTGACTGTTAATTATGACAATTTGGTTGGTTGTGGCTAGCAGAAGAATCCAAGACGCGCGTTTCGTCCTATTTGGGACTCGTCAGCTAGATGTACCTGCACCTCAGTGAGTGACGTCGAACAATTCGGTGGAATAAAAACAACGCAGAATTACCAGTGTGTCAATAAATAGTAATAACTACTACTTGTTGTACAGAAAGTGGATATTGTTCCTCTGTGGCATAGTGGATAACGCCTTGATGTTTGAGGCGACGCGTAAGAGGTTAGAGTCTCAGTGGGAACAACATCACTCGCTGGAGTGCAGGTACATCCAGCTGACGAGTCCCAAGTAGGACGAAACGCGAGTCCTGGATTCTTCTGCTAGCCACAACCAAACAAATTGCCTTAATCACCAACACTGTTTCGAAGAAGATATTGTTCCTAAATCCTTCTAAAAGGATCGGCTCGTAAGACGTTTCATGCAGTAAACCTTTGGAGAATGACATATTGTAGTCGTGGCTTTGATATGTTCCAATGTGAAGGATAATTTGGCAAGACTGACCAGCTCACTGTGCATTTATCAATTCATCTGTTCCTATGGAGCTAGGTAGTAGTTCGTTCGTTTATGCCTATCCTTATCCACATTCAAGAACACTTCGCAGTATGGTTTAGTAAAGGACAAAAGAAGATCAATCAAGTCATCTATTTTACAACTGCAGTCGATACTGTGAATTCAGCTTTGAATACCTCATTCTATAGTCTCAATTTATAACGGTGTTAACATGTTAACATATGTTAAGTCCCTCATTATTTCGAATGCTACTCCTGTCGTTACGTTCATTCGGGAAACTATTATTGGATTATGCATACACTTATATTGGTACCGGGTGATGATTGAAGGCGAAAGGAGGATTTCAGTCGCCGCAGGATTCGAACCACCGCCCGCTGGGTTTTTGACCTGATGCTCTGTCAACTGGACTGAGAAACAATTTCTTACTATGTATTAACCTTCCTTGAATTCCCTGTTATGAATGACTATTTCCGTCCGTTTTTACCACTGACAGGTATTCTGTTTTATTCAATGAATTAAAGTCTGTTGAAATTTCAGTAGGGCTGTATATATTTTGACATTCTAGGTTGAGCAACCAGTCGACAAGATAGCACCGAAATAAACTGGATTCAATTTTCCTGCACCTGTTGCTATGTTTCATCCTCACAGTTTGTGGTTTGTTGATGTAAGGGTAAGGAGGATGAGACTGGTGATAAAGCCAATTGCTAATTACTAGACGCCAGGATCTACCTCATCTCTCCAGATAGAAGTATTTAAACAACAAGATATTCAGAGAAGATTCTTTTCATCGAATTTATTTTCATGCTTCCCTATTTATGTCGGGCGTCGGTCAAAAATTTGTGTGACCACCTTGAAATCGAGAGGTAGGAAGAAACCAGCAAGGCATATATTTGCAGAAGGTTGGCATCAGAAAATTCAATATCGTGACCCACTCCCATCGTTTGCAATGCCATCACTGATAATTTCCCCATTGTCTGAATTTGTACTGAGGGTTTTGGATACTACAAACCACCACACTTATATTTAAATGCCTAGTCGTCTCCGCTGAGCGTTCAGTGCTGCCCTCAGCGCATTATGATGCGAAACCGGTGTATTGTTGATTTCCATTCGGTATTATGTCTTCCTACTTCATCAGGACGGTTCATAGACTACTATACTTTCATCGATAACCAATAAGAATTGATAGTTCTTCGTTTCACCCTAGGTCTCCTTTAGGGTTGAAAATGTCAATTTCCACCCACTTTTCAAGATAGTCTCATTAGATTATTTTGTAATTTCCTGATCGATATCGTATTCATTGCAACTCAATTCGATAACCAGATGTTGTGCAGCACAATCGAGAAGATGCATAAACTTGTGACCGATATGTCATTACTAGTGAGTGAGAGCTCAAACGATGTCCCAGTAAATAGTAATATACTATGTTATCATACGAAAAAGGAGGATTTCTACAGACAACTTCAATGAACACTGGACAAGACGTCAGTTGGCGATATCAAAATTCTTATGGGCGACATGAATGCCAAACTGGGAGGGGACAACACAGGAAGAGAACTAACCATGGGTCGAGAGGCGCTAGGTGAAATGAATGAGAATGGAGAAATGTTTGCAGAATTCTGTGCATTCAACGATTTGGTGATTGGAGGCAGTGTGTTCAGGCACAAAGATATCCACAAAGTGACATGGATTTCACCAGATGGACACACTAAAAATCAAATCGACTTTATCTCAATCTCAAGAAAATGGAGACGCAGTCTACTTAACACAAGGTCAAGAAGAGGAGCAGATGTAGGTTCAGACCACTATCTAGTGCAAGGAACCTTCCAAATCAAGTTAAAAGCCTTCAAGGAAGCTGGTGATAGACCTCAATTCAAGTACAACACTCGGAAACTGAAGGATGAAACTACAAAGGAGATCTTCAAGGCAGCGATCAGGACAAAATGGGAGACACCGAGCAACATCCCTGAAGAAACCTGTGTGGAAGAACACTGGAAGTCTTTGAAAGCTATGTGGAAAGAAACCTGCACAACAGTATTAGGAAGGAAGAAGAAAGAAGACAAGGAATGGATCTCGACGGATACCTGGAAGCTGATAGAGGAGAGGAGGATGGTGAAGCAGAGGATAAACCAGTGCAAGGATGCTCAACGACAAGAGGAACTGAGCACAATGTATAAAACACTGGACAAAGAAGTGAAGAAGAGTGCACGCAAAGACAAAAGACACTTCTACGAAACACTGGCAAGTGAAGCAGAACAGGCTGCAGGTAAGAGAGACCTGACGACATTGTATCAAATAACCAGGTTGCTATCAGGGAAGAGACCAACACAGATGAAACCAATAAAAGATGAAGAAGGAAATTTAATTACGAAAGAAGAGAAACAGAGGAAACGATGGGCCGACCACTTCAAGAAGCTCTTGAATCGACCACCACCTGCACTTCGTCAAGAAATACCACCTGCAGCCTCCGAACTACAAGTGAACATTAATCCCCCAACGAAAATGGAAGTCCTGAACGCCATAAAGCTACTGAAATGCGGGAAAGCAGCAGGACCAGATGGAATACCGCCAGAAGCACTGAAAACAGATGCAGAGACAACAGCGGCCATGCTCACACCACTATTGCAGAAGGTGTGGAAGGAAGAGAAGGTACCTGCCGGTTGATTGGAAGAAGGGTTACCTTGTCAAACTGCCGAAGTAGGGAGACCTCAGTGCTTGCAAGAACTGGCGCGGAATTACTCTCCTGTCCACCCCAAGTAAAATATTAAGCCGCATCATCCTGGAGGGGCTTAAAGACGCACTGGATTCAAAACTACGACCGGAACAGGCAGGCTTCAGGAAGTACAAATCATGTGCAGACCAAATTGCAACGCTTCGTATCATCATAGAACAGAGCGTAGAATGGCAATCACCTCTCCACCTCAACTTCATCGACTTTGAGAAGGCCTTTGACAGCGTCGACCGAGAAGTAATTTGGAAACTGCTTCAATACTACGGAGTACCGCAAACCTTTATCCGCCTCATTCAACAACTATATGAAGATGCCACATGCCAAGTAATCCACAATGGGAAGCTCAGTGATGCCTTTGAAGTGAAGACAGGAGTGAAACAAGGTTGCCTACTATCCCCCATGATATTCTTGATTGTGGTGGACTGGATCATGCAGCAAACAGTAGGCAGCGAGAAGAGGGGGATACACTGGACGACGGAAAAGAACCTAGAAGACTTGGATTTCGCCGATGACTTATGCCTAATGTCACATAAACTTGAAGATCTGCAGGCAAAAACTAACAAGTTGATAGAAGAGGCAGCGAAGACGGGACTTTAGGTGAATATAGAGAAGACAGAAGTGATGAAGATACCGCACCACCACCATCAACAACAACAACAACAAACTCCAATCACCGTCAACGGGAGAAACTTAAAGGAAGTAACCTCCTTCACTTATCTAGGAAGCACTGTTTCAACTACAGGCGGGACGGACGAGGACGTCAAAGTCAGAATCGGAAAAGCAAGACAGGCGTTCATTAGCCTGAAACCAGTGTGGAGATCTTCTGCACTCAGCATGCGGAACAAGATACGGATTTTCAACACCAACGTAAAGTCAGTGCTCTTGTATGGCTCAGAGACTTGGCGCGTCACGAAAGGTATTTCCAATAAACTACAGACATTCATCAACAACTGCTTACGCTCGCTGCTGAAGATCAGATGGCCAGAAAAAATAAGCAACAAGGAACTCTGGGAACGAACCAACCAAGAACCTATCACGCAACAAATATGCAGGAAGAAGTGGAGATGGATTGGCCATGCACTAAGAAGGCCGACTGAGGACATCACGCGTCAGGCCCTCGAGTGGAATCCCGATGGGAAGCGACGAGTTGGACGTCCGAGGGTGACATGGAGGAGGTCGTGCGAGGAAGAAATGAGAGCTCGTGGGCTGTCGTGGGACCAGGTTCAAAAGATCTCAGAGAACAGAGGTCACTGGAGGCGTGCTGCTGAAGCCCTATGTTCCACTAGGAACCCAAGGGACTAATAATAATAATAATAATAATAGTGACGTGTTTTCTCTCGTCTCTCAGCTTTTGGATTTTTCCACATTGAAAAACTCCCACTTACAATACTCAATCTAAAAAGATCGAACGTTTGCAGCACTTCTGTCCGTCCACGCACCTCACCCCTGCGTATTCGTCAGCCCACTTCTCAACAGTTGAAAATTGGCATTATTATTCCTTTGAACCAACCGGTCCACCTCCTGTCAGTGGTTCTTGGGCGTTTCAACTGCCAAACTGCCTTAGCTCTCGGTTCTCCTCGGAGGTCATTCCCCAGGAAATATCTTTCCTGGTTATACATACGCATCTGGAGCTTACGGTTAAACTCGTTGGTCAAGAGCAGAGGATCAAGTGACAAGTGTCTGAAGGTGAGCCAACATAAATTATCTTCCCTTTTCTATTCTGTCCTTTTGCTGCATTCAGTCTTCAACCCTCTTATTGTTGTTAACTACTTGTTTTCCCAAGAAGTTTATATCATAGCGACATGTCTGCCCAAAACGCTAGGTCTGAAGCTTTGACACGGATAACGCGGTCGTGCACAAAAACGGCCAAAAACACCCTAGACAACACACTAGTCTGTACTAGAAGACAAACAGAGGTAGGGCAGAACACCGAACTTCTAAAGAAGTGGCCAACCCATGTTTCTAGAATTCCAGTAGCCATCAGACAGGTGACACAGAGTAGCACTAGCCCGTCACAAACTAGTCCTATCTTGAGCAAGGATCATACCATGCCTGGAAATAGAAGACGACGTAAAAGGCTTCAGCACAAGGCAGCCACAAGCAGTTCGTCACAATCCGTAGCACCTTATTCATGCAAGGAATGCTGTATTACGACACCCGATGGCTGCAGTGTTTGCACCAAAGTTGTTTCGGTAGTCGATGAGGCATTTGCATGCAACCTATGTCAACGATGGGCGCATTGCCACTGCGACACCAAAGTCCCCCGACAATACTATAAGCTGATGAAGAGACAACCATGCAAGTGGTTCTGGTACATCTGTCCAGAGTGCAGGAAAATGCCCGCACTCCGCACAGAAAGCCTGAAGGAGATGCTCTCCGCCACGCAAAAGCTACCAGCACCCTCGAATAAAGTAGGGTTAACACCAAAAGATAACACAGAGAGACCTGGAAACAGACCTAGAGCTCCAGCTGTGGGCACGCCACCTCGCGTGGGGACCATATTAGGTCAAGTCTCCATACCTCCTACCCGGCCCCAGGGGACGTCAAGCGTATGGCCAAAGACATCGACCGCTAAAGCCTCTACGAAACCCATTCCAAACACCCCACACACCGTGACTGAGAAACAACCAGTGGAATTACTCAAACCCATTGGGAAGTCGGGCGTGCCACCCACAACGAACCCAGGTCACAGGAGGACCAACTCGATCATTTTGTTCAACGTCGATGTATCGACAGACTCATTGTTGGTCGAGAGGGAACGGTTTGACAGCCGAATGTGGACCGACTACTGTCAGATGCTAGGACTCCCTCCCCTCCCTGCAACTTTATGTCGCCTTTCTCGAGGAAGCCGTGCACCCCGAGATAAGCCACCCCCTTTACGTGTGTCCCTAAATACTACCAAAGAGGCTGAAGACACACTCCTCCTCTCGCGACAACCGGACGTTGTTAATGCCTGTAAAATTCGGGCCAGGCCTGACAAGCCATGGTCAATAAGAGAGGAGGAGAGAAAGTCAGCGGTTGGAAATCCCAACAGAAACAACACTATAGTTGTACATGGGATTCCAGAATTGCCAAGTGACCGCTCGGTCAAAGATCGGTACTTTCACGACGTCCAACAATGGCAATGGCTCTCAACCAAAGTTGGTCTCAACAGTATACCGGCCAACAGCGTCAGTAGACTGCCAAGGCCAGCGCACCTGAAGACCATACCCAATCCCAGACTACTCGCCGTCCAGTTCGACTCATATGCCTCCCTCACAGACGTTCTACAGGCATGGTATAATGCGAAGGATCGCATGGGTGGCTCAATACGTATATGTGAAAGTAAGCCTAGACCCACAAGGCAAGAGGAGAGACGACAACCACCAAGACCCCTGGAGTCAGTGGTCGTCACACAGGCGCTGACCAGTGAGTTAGATACATCAAGTAAAGAAGCCACCACTGCCACAGCCCCCACCCAAGTTAATAACAAAACACCAAAAAACGGAACAATGCCAGTCCTATGAGGACTGGCGAGGGTAGACCCAACCACATAAGCTGTCATCCTGCGAAAATACACAACCAGACCTCCCCTCTCATCAGGTACACTCTAATATGTATGTACAGCAACGTTAGGGGGCTAATAGGGAAGGTAGCAGAAATGAGGACGCTGCGTGCACATCAGCACTCCGACATCATATTCATCACCGAATCCTGGCTCTCATCGGACATCTCCGACGAAGAGATGCGTGTTGCTGGCATGGAACTCTTCCGCAGGGACAGGGAACATAGAGCAGGAGGAGGAGTGGCTATCTACGTAAACTCCTGTTTAAAGGCAAGGATGGTTAGCGATACGGCCTTAACCCAGCTCCCAGAGTCTCTATGGTGCTACTTCACTCTCTTCTTTATTCTCTCTTCATTCCTTTACCACTACCTTACTATTCTCTTCCAGGTACCTACACAGACAGGAGTCATGGCAGTTCTCTAAACTTCCCAGCAGCCCGTAGCTCCCTAATCACTCTACAAATTACAACCTACTAACCCACAAAACATCCACCTCACCGAAGCTAAAAGCAAGAAAGCAGAGGGGATTTCCTCGTCCACTGCAGGAGTAAACCGAACAACTGGAACCAAGCCCTAAGAACTAGACGCGAGAGATCAAAAACTACCAGTTTTCTACGCTCGCACTAGCAATATTTGATATTGGATAACCTTAGCTTGATTTATCCCTGTGAATTTGTTGCCAATGGCACTGAACCAAACAATCACTACATGCTGCATGATACCGAGTGCCACTGGTTTTAAGCTATGTCATCGCTCCATACCATGATATGAATCTAGTTTCACATGCTCTCTATGAACATCAATAACTTATTGATCATTCGCAACTTTTTAAGCCTTACTGTTGTTTGGCGTTTGATATCCCATGTTCGTTTACTGATTATGCGATCGATTAATTGAAGTGTAGAGGCCTAATCACAGGTGCCCACTTAAAACTCATACTGGGTGATAAAGCCTGTGTTATTACTCACTTCTGTTATATGGTGAAAGGGTTACTATCTCATATTTTTAGCCAGTAACAGTTGAATAACTGCATCCTGACAGACTATGTATGGTGTACCAATGTATCCATTCTTACTTTTCTATTATTTTTATATTATAATTATTATCATTGTTAATTGTATCCAACAAGAACAGTTGTATGGGAAAAACTAGCGTTGTTCTATGAGAATCCCGGCTGACGCACAGTCCATTACTACTTTGAGTGACGAACAGATTGTGAAGAGAAAAATGTGTATTTAACTCTGTTGGTTCCCACTGAACAAGCTTTAGGATGAGGGTTACTGTTCTCCACCTATTTCACTGCGATTTAAGAACAAGTAGTGATGCAACGTTTCTGAGTGTCTGGCTTGGCGTGTGATATCCCCAGTCGGCCTTCTCACTGCATGCAAAACCCAGTCAAATCCAACCCATCTACACTTCCTTCGAGTGCATATTTGTTGACCGATAGGTTCTTGCTTCGTTGGTTCGTCACCAGCCACAGTGAATACCCTGTTGCTTATTCTTATTTTTCTGGCCATCTGAGCTTCAGTATCGAGCCAGTGTAGGCAGCTGTTGATGAATATCTCTAGTTTGTTGGAAATGGTTTTCGTGACACGCCAACTTTCTGAACCATCGTGTAGAGGCATTGACTTGACTGAATTGGTGTTGAAAATCTGGATGTTGTTCAAGCTTTATGCTGAGTGCAGTGCAGGAGATCTCTACACTGGCTGCAGGATAGTGAGAACCAGTCTTGCTGTCTTTCTGATC